ACAAATGCACAACGGTGGCAATAAAATGCCACTTAAAACCATTAATCAACAAATCTGTAATGCATTGTTAAAGAAATCATAAACAAGGTCAAGGATATTGTCAAATAGTATGTTTGATAACTATAAACGTAATCTTTGCATTTCCAGACGTCTTAATCAGATTCGTTTCTCTGTATGATTGGCAAAGCCCGGGGCTACAACGTCCTTGAAAGGTTTGCTTATAATAATAATAATGATAATATACCACATTTATATAGCGCCCTATATAATTTGTAAAGTTACTCTAAAGCGCTTATGAACGAATGAACTATGAGAATGATCCCTCGCCCGATACCATTTATATTTTCAGATATTGCACACAACCTTTTACTGATTGAAAGTAAACAAAAAATGCATTATTGCAATCATATACTGGAGCTAAAAATAAGAAAAAAAAATCTTTTAATTAACTAAAGAATTGTCAGAAATAACCGCTTTCGTCCGCGCATAGTTAGTTGCCGTTTTGTATTAGATACCAAACAAAATATTTCGTTTCTAAATCATCCAGGATGACCAAGTTGACGCACTATGCTGTCGTTACTGCAGTCTCTCGGAACTCAGGTGTGTTGGCTTTTACTAATATATCCCGAGAGGCTCTGAATAAGGATAATATGATCAGGGAAAGTCGAGTGCATGAGGATGGCATGCTGCTTTATTTCTTATCAGACAAACTGTTACATAAATGAGGTATTATATATTTTTTTCTGATTTAACAAAATAAGCCAAAATTATTAATAAAGTATTAGTATGTAGGAGTTAGGACATTTTATGTTATGCGAAAATGCGACACTGGAACTGGTGTTTGTGCTGTCTTGAATAGATTGCCTATCCTTTAAATCACTTAATGTGTCAAACACAGTTGAAGCGTTACCACGTTAGTGGTCGATGGTGTATGGAAACAGAGCTGACAGCCCGTTGTTCATTCTCCTTCACATGCGTCTCAGCATCAGCCTCTTGTACTTGTATTCCACACATGAACTGACGTTTAAATAGATAGTGACGGCAGAAAACATAAAACATACAGAATCGAATTAGCGACTGCGAAAGAAAATGGATAATGTATCTTTGATATATATTGTTATACACAAGAACACATAGCAAAACATTTACCATTTCACGGATAGAACTCAAACAGTTTCATGTCCTTTACAATTGGGTCCTTCAGTGCTGTCTTTACTTTGTGGTCTAGAGGAACATATGGTTTCATTTTGGAAACAAATAATTGCATCGTATATTATGGTGTCTGTGTCTTTACAAATAAAGCAACGAGACAATATCGAAGTGGCAAAACACTGTAATTCGAACTCAAAGAACAGTCAGATATGTATTTAATTCGAACTCAAAGAACAGTCAGATATGTATTTAATTCGAACTCAAAGAACAGTCAGATATGTATTTAATTCGAAGTTCAAGCGCGCGGTATAGTTACGATCGTCGTGTCAATAAGTTTCGAAGAAATATCGTTCAAAATAGCAATCGCTGATTAATTAAAAACAAAACGAAAACAATGAGTTTGCAGTCATGAAATACATATACAAAACGTTTTAATTTCAGAACGTAGTGGAAACATATATTTAGATACTACAACTTGAAACAAAGAAATAGCTTCCAGGAGTAAAAAGGGTCTTTTGCTATTTAACAATACCTTTATTTCAGATATGCTATTTTAAGAGTAAAATGTTTTGCCATTAAACAGAATCTTCGTTAAAATTTTAATATGCCATTTCAAAATGTCCCATTCACTACGAGAATGTCCTTAGTTCACGGGAGAGTATCTTTAAAAAATATGTAACAATTGTTTTTCTCCATAAAAAATAAAATAGAAATGTATTGAATGACATCAAATATGTTTAACACAAATGGACGCCCAATAGAACGAATTAGTTTTCTGGAAATATGTCAAGTTCAAATGTTAGTTAGTGTGATATCGTTCATTACCGGACATGTTGATTATACGGACCACGGAACCAAATAAAAAATAAATTGTGGGTTTTTCCCTTTTGGANATGAGTCGATCATTCCTACAATGACCCGAAAAATAACAACACTTGGTCAGGGAGATGTCAGTAACCTTCCCATGAAATATTAATTTAATCCTTTTGCCAGTATTTCAGCTTAAGTTGAAAATGTAAAATGTTAACGGACGACGCACGACAGACGACGGACGACGACGGACGAAGACGGATAGCAATAGGTCACTTGAGCTAAAGCTCAGGTAACCTAAAAAGTTCAAATAGGCAGAATTTTAAAATATTTTATTTACAGTTATGTGAGATGATATTCTTCAAAATGAGAGCAGGTAAACCAGTGTGGATGACCCCATTTTACCAGGACAGTGGTAAACGTTAACACTATCGTATATGGAAAATCATTTGGTTCTCCGGTCCCTATATCACTTCCTCGTAAATCAAAGTTCATGATTAGAGCAAAGCTATTACATCATCATTTAATCTACACAATGCAATTGAGTTATATCTTCAAATGATTGTCTCAGAAGTATTGCTGCCAACAAATCGTAGTGATTTCTAACATACAACTGTACCGTCAACAATAACATTTTTGAAAACCTTGTTCCTTACTTTTGTGTCTGTGGGTGGTGATGTATGAGATATATAAGTGATAACTTTAAACGGATTACGGATCCATGTCCTATGAAAGGCAATGTTCTGGGAAATCCCATTGCTGCTCGTACATCTTGACTGGTCTCCCTTGAATTGTGTTTGTTGGTATTCTTTTTTTTTATCCCCCGCTTTCACCGAAACGGGGGATATTCACTTGGGTTGGTCTGTCTGTCCGTCCGTCTGTCTGTCTGTAACGCTTCGTTTCCGTGCAATGACTACAACACATATTAACCGATTTTCTTCAAACTTGGTCACAGGGTTAATGCCTTAAGGACTCGGCCAAGATTGATCACCACATTCAGCGGACCCTATTTGGCGGAGTTATGGCCCCTTGAATAATGAAAAACGACATTATCTGCTGCGCTTCGTTTCCGTATACACATATTAACCGATTTTCTTCAAACTTAGTTCGATTTTGATGAAAATTAGTACAAAGGGAGATTAGGGGACTGCGAATTCAACCGCATTGGTTTCGTTGCCATAGCAACCACAAGGAGGCTTCTGATTGGTCGAAAATTATATATTGTTCGATTTTGATGAAAATTGGTATATAGGAGTATCAGGGGACTGCGAATAAAACCGCATAAGTTTCGTTACCTTAATAACCACACGCAGGCTTCTGATTAGTCGCAATTTAGATATTGTTCGATTTCGATGAAAATTGGTATATAGGGATATTAGGTGACTGCAAATTCAATTGCATACGTTTCGTTGCATTGCAACTACACAGAGGATTATAATTGGTTGCAATTTAGAAATGGATCAATTTCACTCAAGTTTAGTATGTACATTCTAGGTGTACTATGGTAATGCGATCCTTTTCTGATGCATCTTTGCGACTATTGGGGCAGTTTGGGGGACATCTGTAATAGTCCCCTATTACAATTAGTACTTGTTGCTGTAAACATTGTTAAGATGTTTCAACCAAATTCCTTATACACATCCAACTCATGATAAGCTTGCCAACCGATGTGATTTGTACATATTTACGGATAATCAATGAGGTATAGGTTTTATCTTTTTTATATTCTTCAAGTTTCAAGCTATACGTTATGTCTCAACAGCCCGATACTCACATGTTTAAACCTAACCTCAAGCATGTTAACCTACAATATGTCCTGCAAGCGGGGGATATAAATTCCACGAGTTTGCTTGTTTGTTTTCTTTTGTGTTTTTCCCGTTCCTTTGTTTGTTTGTCTGTTTGTTTGTTTTATATAGAATTGTCATATCTGTTGTAAACATATTAAGTAACTACCAAAGACCATATAGCTCATTGTTAAAGCTATAGTGAGTATAGTAGGTAATTTGAAAATTCTAATATTGAAAATATAATCTATTTATATATCTTCAAGTAGTTTTACGAAAAAAGAAAGAAAAATCAAACATAAAAATTACCACAGCGAAAACATGTAAAACGTTGGGAATTTCCTCGATTTTTCTGATCTAATGTCACCAATAAAAACCTGTGGTCAAGGGTTCTACTCATTGTACCTTTAGAAACCGGACTCTAATAGCTGAAAATTATAATATTATTATAAAAGTACAATATCGTAAAAATAGGTTTTAAATTATTCATGGGTAATCTGCGTAAGATGTGCACTATTCAATAAAATACTTCTGTTAAAAAACCTTAACATTCAATACCACGAGAATTATAATAATAATTCGAGCTTATTTACCGCTTTATCACAACCTAGCTCGTAGGTCGTCTCAAAGCGGTTCGCTAATTATTATCCGTGGTTATAGGGCCTTTGCAAACTCCCTGTGGAGCATATACAGCCGGAGCTGCCATTTCGGCGCTAACAGCAAGCATTCAACAATTCTAGCACTGCCCAGCCACGTACTCATTTACCGCTGAGTAGACAGGAACAAGCGGAGTAAAGTATCTTGCTAAACGATACAACATAGTGCCGTGCCATGACTCGAACCCGCAACCCTTCAGGCACGAGCCCGGCGTCCTACCGCTAGACTATCGTGCCTCCAAGGGAAACAGATATGTTACTGCTTAGGAAAGAAAAATTACCAGAGAATTTCAATTTTTAAATAATATGTAGTTATGAGGGCATGCTATAACGTTACCTAAATGTACATGACGGATGTCGTTGATGAGGCAGCAGACGCTCACCACTACTGTATCCCTGGTCTGACTATCCAATTCAAATTTTAAAAAGTCTCGTATTTGTGTTGAATCTTTATATGAAGATGTATGACATTTTGGGATTAATGCTTCAATAGGACGGCAGATAATATCTTTACTGAATACTGTTTAACTAGTTATATACCCAAGAGGAATATACTTAATGAATTTGCTATGAATAACAAAAGCTAATGCATCCTTACCTGAGATGGCTAAATGGAGCACAAAGAACGACATTCGATTTCTCTTTTTATTCCGCATCATCAATCCTATGACTATAGCGTTAAAGACGAAGGCCAATACAAACTCCACACAGATAATCCCCGTAGCTATGTTCCAAAGAAGCTGTAAAGGAAAGATCAAAGTATCAAATGATTATTTAGCTAAATTAACAAGCAAACATCATTAGAAAACAAGCACCGTTATTATTTTAAAGCAGCGCTCATTATTGCTTTCGAATGCTTTCAACTATATTTAAAATCAGTGTGAAGTCCAACAACGTAAAAGGCAAATTCAAAAAAAGAATATCAAATATGCAAGTTTTTGAATCACGCCATATTTAAGTTTGACATAATCTACATACAGTATTCCCAGGCAGTGGTTTAAATATAAAGAGGATAGTTCATCTATGTTTTGAATATTGATGATATTGCAGCAAATAAGGATGTATTGTCGATGTGTAGCGGAGCCAGTAGAACCAATATGTTGTCAGTATTACTGCTTCAAATCATATAACATGGCAGAATGTATCCCCTAGGGATCCCTGTATCAGTGCAAAATAATGAAACTGATTTAAGAAACTGTTTGATTCTGTTTGACTTGTCTATGATAAATCATTTCTAAAGAGAAAGCCATACATTACCGGACTTTAATGAGAACAAAATAAAGATGAAATAAACAAAATGTAATCAATAACCTCGTTCTGAGTCAAAAAAACACCAAACGAGGATAGACGGGGATTCGAACACTGGACTTCAGATTGGTATACTAACACCCTAGTTAAGTTTAGTTTGGTTTGGTATTGTTTAACATCCTATCAACAGCTATGGTCATTTAAGGACGGCCATAGTGTATGCGTGTGTGTTTTGGGAGACTGCGATATGTTCGTGTTTGTCTCCTTGTGATAGCGCGGAACTGATGCCGACTTTATAGTGCTACCTCACTGAAACATACTGCCGAAGACACCCAGCTGGAAACCCCACCCGGTCATATTTTGCTGACAACGGGCGAACCAGTCGTGCCATTTCATGTGGTGAACAAAAAATCAAAAACATAATCACTCGGTTTGTTTGGGTCTTAAGACATAACACACGTTATTATATTATTAATACATTTTTGCTAGATGTTACAAGAAATAATTCAACTAACATTAAACATTTCACTGTCAATAAGCATCATCATCCATAAATATAACCAAATTAATTCTTAATTCAACATTTTTACTATGAATGAGATGTTACAAACCATAATAAGATTTCGCAGCACGTCGACCCGTCGCCTGACAACACTAAACATATAATAAGACCGTGGAAATTACCGTTAAATCGATGTACCTTATATTTAGCTATAAATCTGAACCGAAGGATTATGTCGACTATAGTGAAGTGTAACAAAATTATTTGGTTTAGATAGCACGACAGGCTATCAGTTAGTTTCTAATAAAACTTGTTTGTTAACAAATCAATAGAATCACTTTTTATTTCATTACAAACACCACTCTAAATAACAAAATCCATCCATATAGCAGGCTATTTTAGGGGAATAAACACACACAAAACAAATCAATCTCATATTAACACAGAGCTGCCGACACAAGTGCCAAAACAACTTAAAGTAGACATGCACTCTCATTTTCCTAGGAGATAAATTCTACGACTGATATTTCGTTAAATAAAATCCTTATTTGGTAGAAACCCACCTTAGTAACAGACGTTTTAATAGTTAAAGGTTAAAGTGATATTTTTCTACTAGTACATGGTTGTTGATATTTTAAACCATCTTCCTGCTTGTTCTATTCAGAGAGCAAAATAAAATGTGAAAAAATATATCAGTTATCAACACATCATTCCAAGACGTATTCATTACAACGACGTAATAATAGAGTATTCCTTCACTGGATATTTTTAGCGAATGGATTAACTATATTTTCACGTAGGTCGATTTTTCATGAAGACACATTTTTCCATCGAATAATATCTAGTTCACTCGGGGTTAGCGCATTGTTTTGATAACTTGTGCTACGCGTCTTGTGGAATATCAGGATATTCAACCCACTCTGGAAATTTAACGTCTTTCATTGGCAACTAACGAATTTATTTTATATATCAAAAAACAAAAAACAACATTTACAGCGACTATCAAAGTATGTTTCTATCTTTCCGTTAAAGTTCATGTGTCGTTCATAGACAAAATTGTCATTAATATAAAAGGAAGATTGATGTTGACACTTTAGCACCTATAAAACATATCTGTTTACAAAAGAACAGGACTTATATACAACAGCAGAATGTCCTCAACAGTAATGACATGAGACGTGAAATCCCACACATATATAACGTCACGTCATCCAAAAGACATAAAATGTTACCAGACAGTTAAGTACATAATAACACACCATATAAAACTAATAAAACTTGCATTTGTCATCAAATAAAATAGTTACGAACAGGTGTTGTTATAAATACGTATGTGGCAATGTTTAATTTGCCGTTTTATTGTTTCGTGTACGTAACCATGACAATACATTTTGTCACAGATTGTGTGTCTCTAGCATTATTAGTACCTATGATAACCGGATCGTGCCTTCAGCGTCATACACGGCTCTGTAATGTTATTTCATCATATGTCTGGCCTGGCCGACCGGAGAACATTGTACAATTACATAGAGTTGTATACATTTTGGAGACATGATGAATAAATCCCCCGGACTGGATGTGGTGGGTCTGGTATATCAAATAACAGTATCCTGCCACTTCGAAGAAATCTTACTCTGTTTTGTTATGTTATGAATAATTATTTGATTGATTGATTGATAGGTTTTACGTCTCTCACTGTATGAAGCACCTTCTTATACAGACCAAAAGGAACTCAGACATGTGTATCAAAATCATAATTTATGAATGCATATACTGTAAAAGGTGATTTTAACAAGAGCTGTAAGAGAACAGCATAGCTCGTCTTCCAAAATTATTTTTGTAAAAAGTGCTAATAGTAATTGGGTCATTACAGGATGTCCCATCTTAGATAACAGATAAGGAAACTAGATCTACATTATCGATGGCACACTCCCGATTTCCCTCCATATCATATCGAAAATCTGAAAGTGTTGTGCACTCCTCAATAATACGTCTGACCCCCCACCCCCCACCTCACTTTTGGCCCCGCCCGCCTGTCCCCTGGGGGGTCAGGGAATTCATTTGTACAATCTTGAATCCACTTCCCTTAAGAATGCTTCCTGCCAAATTTGTTTGAAATCTGCACAGTAGTTTCAAAAGAACTAACACTAAATCTTTAACCTGTAGAACTTGCCCAAAACTTCCAATTCCAAAATACCAATTATGAGCAAATATGGTTCAATTTGTTGCTAAGGAACCTCCAAGTAATTGCTGTAACCATATTACAATGTTAAAATTAACTAAAATGTGAGTTAAACACCAAAACACAGCTTGCCCGAACATTTTAACCAAGTCTGACGCCGACGCTGCGGGTACTGCTATAGTCCCCTTATTCTTCGACTAGACGAGCTAATACAAATTGAATCCTATTTCTCGAGCCAAAATCACATCCTCACTCCGAGGCATTTTACTTCTCATTGTTCTTGGCATTGGGTTTATATATGACACACTGAATTAGGGATAAGCACAAACATGTTTACAAGGTACAAAGAAAATCCAGTGATGGATACGAAACCAATTACCAGCGCATGAAACCGTTTTCATGATCAAGCATGAATTTTGTACACAAGCCTTATTTCTAAATCTGGTTATAAATCAAGAAAAAAATTCACTTAAAGAGCATTCACTTGAGCATGAGGCCGGTTTCATGAATACGGGCCCTTAACACTTTAATTCAGCAACTCTATTTCAGCACATATAAAACTGTTACTATCAGAGAAAGCAGCCTTCAGCTTCTCACACGTAAGGGTTATGATACACGTAAGGGTTATGATACACGTAAGGGTTATGATACACGTAAGGGTTATGATACACGTAAGGGTCATGATACACGTAAGGGTATTGATACTGCATAGTCGTATCTTTGTATATGTTATACTACATTGATATCATGTTGGGAAAATATTGATACGAGTAAAGTGAAACAAATAGGACAGAGTCAATACTTGTTCTTTACACAGTACTACCCATGCGATTTAAATAGAGTTTAAGTTATTGTTTGGAACTGTTTGATCCTATTACAATTATATTTGAAACGTATTCGTATCAATCATGTATGTTATAGAAATATAAATGTTTTAGTCACGCTATTCAAATATTGAATTTCAATGAAGACTTTTCATTTTTTTGCATTTACAAAAGGAAGAAAACAAATACTTTTATTATATGCCTGAAAATTTCTCGCAATCACATATGTCGGGTCAATATACACGTGCCCAGTCCTCAAAAACTCATGAAGACTGGTAACGGTGAATATCGATTTCTAAATATAGCCTCTATGGTAATTCCCCGGAACCTGTCGTAGCGCATGCGCAGTTAGACCGGAACGCGATTAGTCAGACGACAATAGAAGATGGCTGTTGGCGAACGTTTCTCGTGCATTACATCAGAAAATTACCAAAAGTATTCGAGGATAAAAATGCTGTTAACATAAAATAGGCCATTGCACACGCAGTGCATGTCATCCATGCTTATCTTAAGAAAAAGAACCTAGATGATGTCTTCGAAAGCTACGATGCTGAAATGTTGAATTGAAACCTGGCTAAATTTATACGAAGCCTTGCGTACAAGTAGAACCTTGAGTTTTGTTTTGTTGTATTTTACTGTTGAAGCATATAATAAAACAGTTATGGGTTAATCAAATATGACAACAGGGCCAGTATTTATGAAACCATTCTCATGCTCAAGCATGGATTTTGTGCTCAAACAAACTATCTTGTTACTCACTTAAATCATGTCAAACAATCAAAATGTCAATTGTAAATATTGAAAACAATATCTCACTTCAAGTTTCTTCAACGTTTTTCCATATAATTGACAAACTCAGATTTTATTATTAATTTATAAATGGGACAAGAAATTAGGCTTGAGCACAAAATCCATGCATGAGGATGAAAACGGTTTCATGAATACGAGCCCAGTTGTCTCACGACAACCAATCTATAATACAAACGTTGCGACTTTATTTACAATATGAAAACAATGGTCTTACCACGACCTTTATTCTATCAATAGCCTGGCATACCTGCTGCGCCTGTAATAACAGTATACAACTGACGGTCTTACCATTAACAACCTATTTTGCAAACTTCCGACATAATTTTCACTTACGGTGTGTTAACAATAATCTCACCGATACTAATCTGTAGGACATAAGTATTGCGTCTCAACTTAACTTACAGTATGACACCAGTTATCTTGCTATTGACAACATTTATTTAACAAACGTCGGAAAAGTATGACAACGACATGGCATCTGCCAATCTATAAGACAAACGTCGCGATATTTCACGTTCGACAATTTAGTGTTTACCATACTGAAACATTTTGCTTTTCATTTTTCCGTTTATGATTTATGCACTTTGTCGGATACAACAAAATGACGGACTCATCTATTGTTCAGGGGGACAAGTTTGTCCAGATCTTTTTGTTTGACCCCGCTATTTTTTGCCCTTTGTTCTGGTTTCGCCTCATTTCCTTTTTCTATTCACGACTTTCAGAATGCTATCGCTGAGCAATAAGGAAACACTTTTAATGTAAAAAATTATCTTAGAAAACAAATATTTAATTATACTTTTTTACCAGTAAGTATTAAATTTTGTTACAGTTAACCAATGAAAAACGAGATTTCATGAATATGATACCAGCGATTTCTTAACATTTGTGATTGCATTTAAAATGTGGTATCTACACAAGTGATGGGGCGTAGCTGATTATCAAAACTGAGTAATTGTGATTTATCCGAATGAATAAGTTACATTTGAATAGGTGGATGATAATTTGAAATATTTAACTAGTATGAATTCAACAAGTAAAATCAAAAAAGTTGGGTCAAAATATTTCAACAAACAAGTCAAAAACACAACATGAAAGGCAAACAGCGGGAACTAAAGAAAGAAATGAAAATCAGCCGTAATCATCGCAAAGAAACGGATTCCATCTGTACGTGATCGTCATTTACATCCTAAAAGGTATTTCCTTGCTGAATCACTGGTATTTGCAGATATATACATCAGCTGACAAACTGTCTATTAAGATGTTAAATCGGTTCTCTAAATGCAAATATTAAATCTCATGGACGGGCGAACCTGTCCTGAGGAACGACATGAATTCAAATGTTTTATACCGTTGTTGAAGGAAATCTTAATTCTGAGCGTGACTTAACATACGAGGATGTTATGCGTGGACATTCAATTCTGTAGTTAATCGGATTAGAATTTCCTCATTGACACAAAAGTTCATGAGCACTAATGAGTTACAATTGACAACAGAGATTTGCTAGATTTCTTTGAAATATTAATGTACATCAGATCGCCTACCTTATGGTCTGTGTAAGTTTCCCGGCCATTCAGACCACCCTCTGTCAGATTATTAATGACATCCATTGCCGAGTCGTCGATGTGGTCAGATGCATTCATCATCGAGGTCATTCCGAATAGCAGATACGTCAACAGAGATAAATCTTCTTTCTGCGGAAACAATATCAATCCAACTACACTGTTGTCTTTGTAAACGTTGATAACAGAAAATAATATTATTCCTATATTGTAACGATAATTTTCACAGATGACAGGCGCTGATTGCATTAACAAGTTCGTCCATTTTCTGTTTGGTTAAATATGTAATTCCAATTATTTGATGTATACAACGGATGTAGTTCAATTATTCTCTTCTACAAAATCCAATAACGTATGTTCACATAAAATGAATATTTGATCACCGCTGCAGTCTTAGGTGTTTATCAGATTAGCGTATGCCGATACGAGTTGTATAAACACTAACATGTAGAACACCACAATTTGCGATTTCCAGATAACAAAAGGAAATTATCGGCGTTTTGCATAGTTTTTGCTGGAATTCCTTTAGTCGGTTAGTGAAACGAAAGCAGCAGGTCACATCTATTTCGTTTATAATGCTTATTAATTGAAGGAAAGATTAAATTAAAAAGGGGGGAGATGGAACGTGTAAAACGAGCTGGCATTCGTATCTGGTCTCGCTACAAAGCAATAAGTTTTGTTTCTTAAACTGAGGTTTTACGCACAGTTAACGGTTTCAATCCAGGAATATTGCTATCACTTTGGCAAAAATACGTGTTCCTTCAATATTATTGAAAAAACAGCACAATTTAACTCTGAATTAATATCTCAATTAAAATATGATACGTCGGCCACCTCTGATACACATAAAATTGTTTCAAATTCAATGGCTAGTAATTTCGGTGATTTAAAAAATCAACATTGAACAAACACTTAATATGACGAATTCAAATTATCACGAAACACCACAACGTTAAATGCCAGAATTAAATGTCTAACCATAGATATAATTCATTCTTCATATTTTTCTTATTGTTTATGAATCCAAAATATTCATATCAATTTTAAAATTGATCTGATATGTCCATTTCATAAACCGATTTGGTAATCTTCTTAATATGCTCCATGGCGCAAACGGTTCTGTTTTAGATAAAATAACAAACGCCGATATAAATATAACATCAAGTACTGAACCTGTTACAGGATACAGAATTGTCGTTGATAAACTAGTAGGAACCTAAGCAGGAACCTAAGCACCGCTCCTCTATCTGTGACAGTGAGGTTTGACGCTCCCTCCAACAGGCGACAGGAACCTAAATGTAAACACCCATCAACTGTCTGTGATGATACAGAGAGCTGTCACGTTCCTTCCAACGGGTGATAGAACCCTAATGGTAAACACCGATCCTCTGTATGTGACGATACTGAGACTTGTGATGCTCTCTACAACAGGTGACACAGTATAATACAGTGATCAGCTTCAGTATTGATCACCCTGGGATAATCGCTCCTAACCTACTATCATACAGATACTGATGTTCTGAACATTGATAGACCATTACAATACGTTCAAATATATTACAAAATAAAGTTAGGTTATTAGAAATATTTAGGCATTTGCTTGCAGAATGTGTTGATAAAAATATCACAGGTTGGAAGGATATTTTTTCCGAGTAGGTAAAAGGTTAGAAAACGTAATGTTTTATTTGGCCTCATGTATTAGTGAAATCATCACAAATGATCAATTTATTCAAACATATTTTGCCATGTTGGGGGTTGTGAGGCCCTAGAAATTTTCAGTTAAAAATTTAACATAAAGTGACAAATTATTCAAATCAGAACAGGACATTGATAAATCAAACAAGTAAAGTTGATGAATTGAACTTACTTAAGATAACTTGTTAATTGTATATATATATATACATATCTCTGTCCAAATGCACATGATCATCATGAACACCAGTTAATTTCATTTAAAATTTTAATACTGAAAATCTCTATAGGGACCCATCAACTAAAAAAAGTGCATCAATATCATGAATCTTGTTTCATATTAATCTGAACAACACAGATTGGCCACCCAGAGATACATTACCCCATGGGTGACCCAAAATAGAGATCAGTGATACAGACATACATTCATGAACAACAACAAAATGGTCTAAAATAAAACCATGAATAAAGCTAAGAATTAATGTCAGGTTGATTGTATCACATAAATAATATACATAAGAAATACATCACAGATTGATCACCCAGAGACCAATTATCCCATAGATGACCCCACATTAGGATCTGTGAAGCAGACATACACAAAACCACATAACTATTGATAGCAGAAGGCTAGTGATGTTGTCAGATATCATAATCATTACTACAGGATTACGTTATTAGCAATACTTTATCCACCACAGGTGACGAGGTAACCTCACCAACCTATGGATAATACTAAAAATAGCCTTTGTAAACTCTAGTAAACAAAAATGGAAAAAAATGTCAAAGGCCTGGTTAAGAGATTATGTAGAGATTATCAACTAGACGGACAGAAGCATGTACATGTATATAGATTCAATGTGTCTGCCCTCTGCAGTTCCACATTAAAAATACATAAAATTACATGTATGAAAATAACATATTACATTCTATATTGCAGTCATATACATGTACTGATGTAGCAAGAATTTACGGCTTGCACGAAGGACACATGAATGCCTCGCCTTCCTGTACAGCAAAACCTATTGGAAGGCATTCATCCCCATGCATCCATGCCTTGCAGTTGTCACAGCTGACTCAAAGCCTGCCAACACCCTCCATATTGTCCTCGCTGTAGCTCCCACCACAATGATAACATTCAGCATCTGAATCAGCATCCCCTTCCAAGGTAACTTGCCTTCTGTATCTAGGCTTCTTACTAGTCCTGCTTGCATCCATTTTCTTCTTTCTCTCTCCTTTTCTCTTTTTCTCCTCTTCCCTACTCTTTTTCGCTACTTCCTTCTCCTTTTTCTTCTCCTCTCTAACTACTTTCCTGTTCTCTTTGTCTTCTTCTTCCTTCTTTCTCTTTCTCTCCTGTTCCTCTGCCTTCTCCATCCATTCATTTTCTGTTAACGCCCTTGAACAAACAATCACCTTTCTCTTTTTTGTTGTAGCAGCCTCCTTCGACCTGTCCAACATGTCGCTGATGCTGGTATTCAGAACGAGGTCGACAGCACTAACACCTAGAGGCTGCCTGACAACTGGTGGAATTTCGGGGGATGTGCAGCTGTGGGCGCTGATGTCAGGACAGCTCAGTGGTTCTGGAGACACTGGTACTGATGAAGGCACAATGCTGTCGTCTTGAACGGAAGGATGCTGATTATGCACTTCAGCCTGAATGGTGATGACTATGGCCTGGTCAGTGGTAGGAGGAAATGCAGTCTCCGGGATGGAAGCAACAGGAGGATCAGGCAGGGAGGGTGTGGAAGACTTCATCTCTGATGGATCAAACACCCCCATGATTTTCAGAGCCTTATTCACATCAGCAACACATGTGATGTTAATTGCTGTGTTGCCAATTAAAGAAGGTGCCAGGTCATCAGATTCAAGGATCACCTTTGGAGAGAAGGGGAAAACTCCACACTTAACAAAGGAATTGATTATGGTTGATGGACACAGACTCTTGGAGTACACCGCACCAAACAATTTGCCAAACACGAAGCGACTGACCACTCGACCGGGATTCTCTTCCATGAAGTCTTTACACTGTTTTTTATAGTGTTCTTTCAATGGCTTGAAGCAACCCCTGTCGAGTGGTTGCAACTTGTGAGTGGTATGATGAGGAAGGGCAAAAAGAATTATGCCTTTCTCTTTACACTTCCTCACCACTTCCAAGCGAACATGTGTACTGTGTCCATCAATCAGAAGCAACACAGGTCTTGAAGCTGGAATATGCTTCACAAAATGCTCCGTGACCCATGTCTCGAATAACATGGAGTCTATCCAGCCATTCGGGTTGATACAAACCCTTGTCCCAGGTGGCATACCCTGAAACATGGTTTGATCCATACCCCTCTTCCCCTGGAAGATGACTTGTGGTGGGATAAGAAGACCAGAGGCAGATGCACAAGCCACGACTGTGATGTTGGTCTTATTGCCACTAGTCTGTGAATGTGCATCTTGCCCCGCCACCTTTACAATTTTAGGTGGTTTGTGGTCCAATGGCAGACCCGTTTCATCTGCATTAAAAATGCGCTCTGGCCTATTTTTTAAGTCATACTTATCTAATATTTCCCCCAACATGGCAAAGTAGTTCTTAACGACATTTGGATTGAGAGATATGGTACGATCCCGCGGTAATGACTGGGGGCTACACAGACGCACCTCTGGCCACCTCTTGATAAAACCTAGCCACCAGTCATTACCGGGTCGTCCATTCACAAATCTATTTCCTATTTCTCCCTCTTTTACAATCTCCCCAACAATAGATAGATGTTGTTTTGTTCTACCAAACCCAATTTGGGCACAAACTTTTATATACTCAACACGCTTCTGCTCCCCCAGAATGGAGAGTGTTGGAGGGGGACCAGGGCGGGTGGCAGGGTCACTGGAGACTCGACCAGTGATGCGGTCACCCAACGATGACTTGGGGACCTTGAATTCCTCTGCTACCTGGCGAACAGATATCTTTCTACCTGCAGAGGACTCAGATTTATAAAAATCCAAAGCCCTCTGCATGTTTTCCTCGTCCCAGGTTCTTCGGACCTTTTTAGTTGTCATATTGATGCAATCCTACAATAAATTCCAAACCAAAGATTTGAACTATTTTTCATCTTTTGTTAAACACAACTTTTGTATTTCTGTTGCCCGACTGTATATTTTATATAAATGTCAACTCGTGCGAGATTAGATATTGAATCTAAATAAAGGGTGTTTTTATTATTTTTTGTTAATTATTATTTAAAATGTTTCTGTTTACTGTCTGTTATCTTATTCTGGTGGAGATATTTGTCATAATTATGTCTTGTCAAAACCAGGGAGCAAACCATTGAACGACGTCTGATTTACCAGTCTGCTAATCTTCAAGCCTAGACAAATCAAACTTTCTTGTAGGAAAATGATTATAATATGCACAAACTAAA